CATCCTTCGGGTGAGCTTTCAAAGCATTTTGAGTTAACTCCATGAAGCTGTCTTTACCTTTTAGAAAACAGACAGCAGGCCTAAAATGCAATCAGTTCCTGTTTGGAAATACTTTCAAATATAGCCTTTTCATAATACACTGGCCCTTATCTTGACATAATCTCAACAATGATGGTCATGAGAGCCAACAGTTTCAGGGTGCTTTACGCTTTGCAGAGTCCATTTCCAAACATGGTTTCAGCTGATCTTCATGACAACTCTGAGGGAGACATATTATTATCCCAATTTTCCAGCCAACTGAGGCTCATAAAAATTAACAAATATATTTTTTTTAAAAACTCAATCTAAAAATAGAATCTTTAAGCTGAAAAGAGCTTAAAGATCAGACGTGGTCCAAAATCTTGACTTTATATATGTAAGAAAACAAAGGCCCGGAGAGGGGAAAACATTTGGCCAAGATTCATCAACCAGGAGAATTAGAGCAGGACACAGAGAGCCTGACTCCTTCTCTTGTGCCCGTTCGACTCCACATGGGTGCTCTGATCTCTTCTCCTGTGATCATTGGAAATAAGACCACCCGATAGCCAGGAGGTCACTTGGGGCCTCCCTGTCCCATGGGCCTGAGTGAGGTTGGCTGGCATCCCCGCGGAAGCCCCATGACTTCTGCCAACCCCAGGTCCCACGATATAACCCTGCTTCACATCCCATCTCTGCTCCCCGCTGCTGGGACCCAACACAAAACTCAGCCCCTTCTCAGTTCTCACACACACACGCCCACAGACACACACACACAAGCACACAATTTGCATAAAGCATCCATGAATATAGTAGGCTTTACTGAAATTTTAGAGAGAGAAGATGGAGGAGGGAGTGGTTAACACGGAAATAACAAAATACCTTCAGTTTCAGTGTTACACATCTCCCGCCTTACAAGGCCATTTACCCGCCCCCCCCAAGTGCACACCCCAACATCTCCAGCCTCACTTCATCACCCTACTTGCTCTGCCCGCTCCCATTTCTGCCCCTCACTCTTCTGTCCCCGTCTTTTTCAAGAGTAAAATCAAATTTCTCTCCTTCTCTCATGCCAAGGGGCATAAACTTTCCTTCATTCATTCAACAAGCAACTGCTGAGTGCCTCATCTACTCTCCGGGGACCTCCTGGATGCCAGAGCTGTGCTATTGATATTTTCTTGAGGCTAGTTAGCCAGGAGCTCCAGGTAAGGTGACATTTAAGCCAAAACTTGCAGGAAGGAAGGAAGGGAGTGAGCCAGCTGGCATCATATTGAAGAGCCTTCCAGGCAGGGCCGACGGCAGGAAACAGGGCCCTGCAGGGTGGCGTTAGGAAGACTGAGCGTGGTGTGCGCTGAGAGCAGGGAGGTGGCCCAGGGGCCAGCCCGGGTAAAGCATGTTTTGTTTGTTTGCTTGAGCTCCAGCCAATATCTTGCCTTCAACTTACCTTGTTCTTAACAAGGTGTTTTCCCCAAACAGAGACAGGTTCCCTTTAGGGGGAGAATGCTGATGCCAGCTAAAAGTATGGTTAAATGCTCAACGTCTTACCCTGTATCCTATACTCCCCTTATTGTCCCAAGGACTGAAAACCCACAAGCGGTCGCCTTAGGGACATGTCTCTGTCTTGCACAGGGGATTTTTAAAAAGAACCTAGTTAAGCAAACTAACCCAAACAAAGACACTGTTGAAGTTGCCCAAGTATGACCCTTTGGGACACTGTCCCTTGGGCACCAACCTCTATGAGACATGCCCTCTCTTAGTGGCACTCGTGGGCTGCAGGGAAGCCTCTGATGCATATGCAAACACAGCAAGGGACACCCCGACTGTCCACAGAAGGTACCACAAGCTGGGACATGTCTCCCCTGACACTTTTCAAGTCCCTGTTGAAGTGTTTTCTTGGTTGAAAATAATAAAATCTTCTTTCGTTCAGATGACCTGGATTTGGGGTTGTTAAGTTGTTTTTCATAAAGATGTGGGTGGGAAGAGGAACCTGGGCAGAGATTTGAAACAAATCCCTCAGCAACCAGGACACAAAGACACCGGCTCAGCTCACCACACCCTCTAGAGCTTGGCTGTCCCCTCAGCACTGAGGGGCTTCCTCTGAGTGAGGTGGGCGACCACTGAAGGGTTGGGGACAGAGGGGCCATGCGTTCAGATTTACATTTTTGCAGGAACCATCAGTCTGCCATGTGGTGACACAGTGACAGGGGGCAAGGGTGGGGGCAGAGTGATGAGTCGGGAGGCTGGTGCGGTAACCCACTGAGGGGTGCTTAGCCCAGGCTGGTAGCCGTGCGGGTGGCGAGACGTGGTCAGGTCCTGGATGTATCTAGACCTGAGCTCACAATATTTGGCAATGGACTGGATGCAAGACATGGAAGAGAAGGGGCCAGGCTGACTCCAAGGGTAAAGGCCTGAGGAACCGAGATGCAGAAGACAGCAGGACGGACGGGACTGGGGGCGAACTCAAGAGCTCTTGGACAGGTATAGGTGAGAGGCAAAGGTGCAATAAGCATTGCACACCTGGATGCGTGAGTCTAGAGTTCCGGGTGAATGACCTGGAAACACAGCCGTAATGCTTGGCCTGCATGGAACATGTGACC